TCCCGCCCTTTAAGTACTGAAACTGCAATAATCAGCTCGACAAGATATGCAGCACGATATTATCAATGACCACGAGACGTCGAATTATTGATACGAAATGAGGAAATTGTCGGCCATAATCAAACACATGGATTGGGGATAGACCTGATAACAGAATCAAGTTCCCAGCTGATAAATCGTCTCCACGTGGAGTCGAATAATAAAACTTAATTTCACTACGCTAAAACACTAATACGAATAAAATTACAGAAGATAATGGTAATCTCTATGCTATGTCATATATACGATAATTTCTGCATAGATAACATACCGTGTAACGTTTCTCTCGTTCGGGAGTACTACTTTTCAATTTTAAATCTGCCGCCACTTTCATATTCTCGAGAACCGTTAATAAAGGTTGCAAACGATCATCTTGCGTGATGTAGGCGCTGGATCTGTAAGAGACGATTAAAAATGATCAATGTGAACAGCCTCTTAATGGATAACAAAGCATCGCTCTTACAAAGGAGACAAGATTGAAAAAAATATTATTAAATAATTTAATCAAGTTAGTAAAGATTGTCGGAAATAATATGTACCTGCGGAATGAGTTCAAGTCACGAATTCGTCCATTAACGTAAACGTCACCTTGGACGCCGGTGATTCGGTAACCAGAAAGAATATCAAGAAGAGTTGATTTTCCAGCACCGGATGGACCCATAATGGCGATGAGTTGCTTCGGCGGAAATCGTCCATTAATAGCGTGTAAAATTTCTTTCTTGCCTGTAATGATAACGTTACACACTTATGAAACAGATTCACGTTTCGTTGGATGCTCAAAGTCCACACGTGAATTCGATGATACGTTATATGATGAGTGATAACTGCATTGGGTATAAGTCCGGTGATGAAGCTTCAACAGAAAAGTATACGATCTACGCCCGCGACTGTAAGCGTCTCTTTCCTTTGTCATTACTTCTCCCAACGTATTCTTATTTTGCTCCTACGTGCGCCTTGCTCTAACCTTAACTTCCCCTTTCGTGTTTCCGTGGCGGATCAATTTTTCCTTCAACTGTCGTGTACTTTTTGCCCTGTAGAGGACAGCTTTGTTAACGTCATCCTTTATTTCGTCAATCTCTACACTTATTACTCTCAGACGTGGCGCGAAAGGGGCCTGACCATGGAGGCTATGAGGCTTGTTTTTTATAGCATCAACCATGGAAATTCTGATATCAATTATGAGCGATCAAGTATTCCTATACTACAAAAGTGTAAATATATTTTTGCAGGTATACGCAGTAGGTACATACAGACACAATATTTGAGATATAGTTAAGTATTGACATTTAAGCGACAATAAAATACGAAGAGGCATACAAGTTTTGCAGAGCTATAATAGAAATAGAAAAGGAAAATTAATTGTTTGCTATTAAAATGGAAATTTGCTATTTGCCGTTGTGTAACTTGGCAGAGATCTACTGTCAAGTAATATTTGACGTATCATCATTAGCGAGAATTTCACATGAAATAATTGTATGCAAAGCAATGCCGGATAAATAATTGCCTTGCATTAGATGTTATATCGATGGCATGTCAAAGTGTCATATTGACCTAGGTTATATGTATACGGTATAAAGATCATGAGTATCAATTATACTAAATAATTTCCATCGTTTTTTATGCCAATGCATGAAAAAGTCATTTGACCAAGGAACAGCATTGTATGTGCAGTTATCATTGATAAACTGAATATGTGAGATAAGATAGATTTACAAATGTTATCCATATGGACATTGAACACGGTACAAAGGTTGATTCATACGTGGATTAAGACTCTCAGTAAAGAAAATATATTAGGTACTTAAAGGTCACCAAGATTAACAATATTACAAGGTAGATCACGAGAATATTTCAGCATTTTAAAGTAAATATAAAATATTAGGATATATATTAATGAATTTCAGTCACTGTCATTTTAGGTATTGATTGTTCTCCCGAAATTAAGTGCAAACTTTACTGAATTACCTATTATCAGCCGTGGTAAGAGACTATTAGAATTTCCAAAAATAATGAGAACATAACTCTGATAGGACTTTAAAGTGAATATTAGTCTTATACAGTATCTAATGCTCATATGTGAACATAAATGTATGAATGAACAGTAATCAGTAAACAGTTTAAAGAGAACGAAAGTCATCGCAAAGACAAAGAAAATCTTTGTCCCTAATTCAACAGGAAGTGATGTGTAATCAGACATTGTAAATATAGAGAATGTAATGATATACGCTTAACGAGCAAACGAAAAATCATTATGATTCGTTAACAAAAAATTATATCACGTTCGAATGGATTCCCTGCAATCACGTAATGCACTTTGCTATATACACTATATAAAATGTTAGGGGTCAATCGGCAACTTTCTCTTGCACAAAATGCATTACGTACTGAGAATCCACTTCGCGAAATATTTTTGCAAGCATAAAGTTTAACGTTACACGGATTTCTTTAGATTATACTTTACACTTTCTTTTATACGTTAATTAATTTTGATGAACCACGTGATAGGGTTGTCCATATAAATTTTGAAAAAGGGCAAAAATTTATTTTCACATTAATTAATAAAATTGACTAACCTTTTCGAAATCCAAGAGATACTGTGTAACGGATATCCTCAAACGTTATGTCCACTGACTGCTTTTGGCAGAAACTTGAAAAATGTTCGGAGTCTTCAGTTCGCACGACCGAGTTCTGACTTCTGGTTACCTGTTGCACGTTGCTTATTTTATTCGCTGCTTCCTGTCCACTTTTGGACGCCTCGTGTATCAACACTTCCATCCTTGATAAATGCTATTGCAATTACTTTATTTTTCTGTCGGATCTATTCAATTTTTTTTTATTTTACGGAGCAGCACACTACCGATCAGACGACCATTGCAAAACGATCTGAAACAAGCGACCATGCTTCGGGTAAGAAATGACACACTCATAAAACTTAACTGGACGGATTCACTGATTAGATTAAATTCTTATATATATGACAGATCGCTTGATAATAATGATTTAGTAATTATCATCAAATCAGATTGTTGCTGGACTTGAGACCAGAACCCATTGTACTGTATCCACGTGCTAGTCTCATCCATTTCAAGGTTTCTTCGAGGTCTTTGAAAAAACTACCAAGATATTATCGAAGAAATCAGTAATCACGGACTTTAGTCAAATAATAAAATTTTCGGTTTTATTGTAAATCTCTGATTGGTTTGTGTCAGTACATGTAAACTACTGCCTATTAATTATAATGCATCTTCAAAATTATCGAATTCAATATGTGCATTAAAGCGGTAGTTTGTATACTATTACACCAACCACATAAGGTCAAAAGCCCAAATAGACAGACAGTTACATTCGACTGACTTTAGTATTCAATAATTCGCCAAAGAGATCCAATGAAAATATTCTACAGCGTCATCAAGCAAAGTTCATTTGATTTCTTTATTTTTCTGGTCGTCCAATCGCCAAAGTTTATACTGAATATTTAACAACTTACGTGAAAGTTGTCATTAAAAAGACCAAAAAAAGAAATGAACTAATAACTGGCAATATGAATAATATTGAAGGTGAATTGGTATCAAAGAGTATTAAAGATGATGAAATTTGTTCATGGAAGGAATAAACAGGTTATACGAAAAAAATGTGATTGTGTAATTGTGACTGAATTTAAATATCACAATTCATACACATCGTTATTTCCGGTTTCTTCCACGAGGACAGCGGAATCGTCAGTATAGCAACCTCATAAATTTTACGTGTGTATATGGAATAACCCGATGAAGTGGGTTCTTAAGCTTGTTTAGAAACGTCGAGAGGAAGAAATAATTAAATGCGAAAACAGTGCTTAAGGGGACTTCGGACCTTTCATAGTCGTGCGAGTAAAATGTAAACGAAAATCTTAACTCACAGGTTTCTTGCAGAGATTCTTTCAGAAAACAAAATTCAACGCACATTCTACAAGGTTGAGAGAACAATTTTAACACAATTTTCGCAGTAATTAGCTTAAAACTGAATGTGTGAGCCGACTACAATATTTTAATGTGAATTTAAAAAATGCGAAAAATTTAAAATCGAATTATTCTTTGAGTATTGATTTCATTTTAAGAAAAAAAATATATATCAAAATTCTGTCATTTTTGTTGACATTTTAGTCGCATGCCAAGTGAAAGATTCGAATTTCAATTTTATTTCGTAATTTAATTATCATTTTAATTAGTCCTGGTCCTCAATGACGTAAAACTGTATTTTCCTACATTTAAATTTTTATTTGTCTGACCTATGTTATCAAATAGTTAATCAGGCATAACAACTTGTCAAGCGATTTCATACATTTTTTCAAAAGATAACTTCGATCCGTAATATAAAAATAATATTGTAAAAACATCTCGTTATCGAACGTACCTATGTGTCGTGTCAATCATTAATAAATACTTCACACAAGACACTCAGATAAAATAACAAAGAAAATAATTTAAAATACGACTCAATCGATCATTCAAATAATTGTCGTAAACTTCGCGTGCTTTATTCAGATGACAACACTAGAATCTTATTGACATATACCGAATGCGCGATAACAGGAGCAAGATCATTTATAAAGTAGTTTTTTTAGCGCACTTGTACGTCACCAGAATTATAATCGCGCGTCATTGTAATCGTTGGAGGTTATAATTGTTGTCAATTTTGAAACATATACAAGGTTTTTGCGATTCATTTTCGAAGAGACGCACAAATAACATTGTTCCCTAATATATTATTTTCGTGTTTATCTCTTTTCCTTCTATATTCTAGTTCCAGCAACAGGTTCTACGTAACGCAATACCGCAAATCCTATTATAATCCCAAACTTGGACGGCAAAAGCCTGACAAGTTAAATCCGCCTATACCTTGCGTCTGTGGAGACTTCGTATACCGGATTCCAAAAAAAAACAGATTATTAATTCAAAAAAATTCCAATAGGACCAAGGACCTTGCAAGCAGATACCGCATATGATAGAGACACTGTGTTACTCTTGAACAAAGTTCATCAAATTGTGACTCATGGCGTAAGCGCTGTGCTATCGGACATTCGCGGCTGTCCAAGTGGCCTTTATGTTCTTGCCACATGTCACAGACAAATGAGATACTATTCACTATTGAATTTTTCATCTTTATATCAGACCGACAATTATTTGTCTTATAAATAATCAACGCTCATGTATGACGATGGATAATTATTTTTTTTACTATGATCAATCGGGTCATTTTATTATAAAAAAAAAATTGTATACGTCGTACATAGGTAATATGAACGATTTTATTATATTTTCACGATTCTTCCAATCATGAAAAGCATGAAAGGTCGCTTTGACGAGTCAATTTGAAGCCATTGATTTTCATTGGTCAGAGCATAGTTCATATTCAATGATATACATATTAAATGCAATGATAATCGGAATTTTATAATGATAACGAAATGGAATTTTAAGGATACGCTGATTATAATACCAGGATACAAAGCCTGATACACGTTACATGGAAAGTAAACTCTTGTAATTGACAAGTTATAACAATAAAAAGCAAATTTATGCGTTATTCAAATATTTAATGATGGATGATCGGTGATCTCAGCAATTATTCTATGACGATCATGAGAAAGGCGTGAGTCTCTAATATCGACGGAGTAATGACAAAAAACTATTTATAAATAATACCATACATTGATCGTCGAGCAACAATTATTTATATTGCAAATAAAAAAATGTATAAATCGATGATCCATCAACAGCAAATGACAAGCGGCAGTGCGGAAATTCAATTTTTTTTTCTCAAAGTATCCTTGCGTCTTTGTCGCGCATTGCAATTTTTTGCAATTTCTATTCGTGTCTGTCTTACGTTTCTGATTGCTTAAAAAATTTACGTTGGTTAGACCATATGAGTAACCCAAGTATGGGTGCTGTTGGGAAAATAAACGCAATGCCGTGTCTACGTTTATCTATACCGAATGTTCACTTATGCGTAGGTAATATTATTGCAGAATATGACAGAGCGATATGTAAATTAACATCTTGAATGTGCGTGTAATAGATACTTGTAAATGATTCGTTTTCAAGTCAATTGGACTTGAGATAAATATAAAAAATAATAATAATACCATTCTTTTCTTGAAAAACTAAATGTTATACTTAATTTTGACAATGACCTTATGTAATCAAATGCTAAGTCGTTAATCTAACCTAACGTATTTATCGCTGTAATTGAAAAGCAATTAGCAGTTCGATGGCTCTGACCCATACTTCAATATTTTCGGATAGGAGATAGGAAGGTTTTTTAAGATATAAAACAATATAATATTTTGCTAATCATCGAAATTCAAGAAATTCTAAGAAAATGGAATAAATTAATGTTAATGATTTACGTATATATTTGTGGGAATGTAACATTGCCAGATGGTCATTCTGTATACAGAAGGACATATTGTGACATATTGAATACAATAGTACACCAATATTTAGTATTTCAAGTGTATGTACAATCAAAATGTACCTTAGGTATGATGATATTCCATGAAAATATTCATTTCTAATTCGTGATCAATTATTCTCTTGTCAATATACGTTTAACACTTCTTTTCACTATCCATTTTTGTATATTTGATACTACATATAATTTACATACACTATATGCCGAAAGGTACATATGTTATATTTAAGATTATAAATAAGTTATATATATTTTTTCATATGATTAATTATATGCAAATAATACGAAAGAGAAAGAAATACTATTTGAACAAGTGTTCATTCATCATTTTTATATTTTTTTAAAAATATACATACATACATATTACTTACGTGGACTACTTCAAAAATGTGACTGAATGCTCTAAAATATCTCCAGTATTAATGTCCGTTTAAATTGTACGTAAAAAAAAATTAATACAAACTGCTAGAAGACTGTAAAGTAAACTCAAAATTTTATGTGTTTAATTTTACGTGAAACAAGGTACTATAAAAAGTGGCTTATACTGATGTAAAAGTTCTGACATACGTGATTTCATTCAATATTTTTTTTAAAGGCCTTTCAGCAAACGCAAAATAACAATTATACAGGGTGAGTTATCCTAGACTCCCAATCTGGGAGGAGCCTCCATATGTATAAGGTACACTATTCTCCAATCAGATTACCCGCACCTACAAGGCATGGTATTCTTGATATTGCATTATAAACATGTCAGGCTACTGATCCGCATGGCAGTTGCGGACACCTTGCCCGTAGGTGCGGGCAAACTGATTGGAGAATAGCGCATCTAATACATACGGAGGCTCCTCCCAGATTCGGAGTGTAGAACAACTCACCCTGTATATGAGCAACATTAAAATATCTTTCTCAAACATATAATGGTTATAAAACACTTCATGTAAGTAACTGTTATATCCCTGGGTAGGACACTATAAAATTGATCGGTATACATATCAATGGTTGCTAGGTTATAATTGTGAAAACGCGCCTTAATTTCTTGCAAAAGCCAAGGCCACGAGACCGTGACTTAATTTATCCTGTAACTCTCGTGAAAGATTCAACGTATCTCTGTCTTACTCTTTCTGAGTAAGACACGGTTCTCTCTCCGTGTCCTGCAGATACGTATTCGAAAAAAAGAAAAGTGGCGTGTAATCAGACATAGTTCGCATCAGCGGAAATACACTATCAGCGAGAGGACAACTTTCCGATGAGTTTGAACCAGCAAAGAGTTGACACAGAGTTCAATAAAAATTACAAAAAGTCAGTGTGAAAATGATATTATCGGTAAAGTCGAGATACTTTTATACGAGTATAAGCATGTGCGAGTATGTATGATTAACAATTATAAAAATGTGGATGACATTACGTGTCTTCTACAATTTTTCACAAATGTTTCTTTCAATTATAATTAACTAATAGATAATCGCGTGATGCTCAAGAAGAATATCGTACATAATGTTATTAAAGTTAAATTTAAAAAAGAACGATATATTTTACTGTCGCTGTCTGTATAAATAAAATAATCGATCCTCTCCTAATGGAAGAATCGGTAATAACGAGTAAAAAAATTTAATGAAAATCAACAGCAAATACGTACCAGAGAAATACAAGTTGGTGGTGTCAGGTGAAAGTTGTTGTGAATTAAAAAAAAAATCACTGCGTATCACTAATTAAATATCCGTTATACTTAAAAATTGTTTCTTGCTAATTTTATGCTTTTAAAATGCTCTTTCAATAAAATTATCGACCTATGTCAAAATGTCAACCGATGTATGATGTTGACCGCAGTAGCATGTGCGGTCTACTGACTCCTTAGAGCTCGGTACCGATTCCGATACACATGCTCACTTTTACATTCTACGTCCCTTGCTCCCTCCCGCTATCTCCAGATCCCTCTTTCTGCCATGCTTATACGGATCAGCCTGTAACTCTCTCTCTTTCTCTCTCTTGCTTTCTGTGCGTTTCTACGTTTGTCTCTCGCAGTCTCGTCGTCCTCATAGCCATTCTTAATTTGATACGTCAGATGAGAGAGAGCAATGCATGAATTCCATTGACACAGTAAGATCTCCGATCTACGAAGATCAGTGTTTAAACTATCGCAGCAAACGCAATATTATATGTAAACTGGATATTGGTTGTAATTTCACACTCAAATTCGTAACGTTAATATAACAGCATTGTTACGTGGACCTTATGAAAATAAACGAGAAATTACAACTAACATGCACGTTACATGTAATTTCGTGTTAGCTGAAACGGTACAATTTTATTACGGCAATGTAAAACATGTAATTTGTGATAGCATGGGTAAATACACAACTTAGCGATATGTATTTGGCAAAATTTTGCAATCATAATTTAACGAAAGTACGTCAAATTATAATTTTTTGATAAAAAGGTATTATCATTTTTTCAGAGCTGTTTTATTTTTCATAATATTTATCTTTATAGAAAATGATAGCCGTCGAATTTCATAATTATGTTGGATTAATTACAGGTTTATCTCTGAGAAATAAATGGCAAATAGAAAGGTCAAGATGAAATTCGATTATTTTCGTCGAATAAATGTTTTTTATTTATGAACAAATATTTTACGTTCCGAATGCATTTATTTTGCTATCATTGCGATGCTATTATTGACGAAGCATAAGAAAAGAAAACGCTATTCAATCGTCACATTATGTCTATGATAGGTTTTGAGATGATTTTGCAGTATGAAATATCTCTGGAGATGGATGGTAGTGCACTTCTTGGATTATAAAAGCGACATGACCCGTGAAAAGAATAATATGACGATGAACCATGAAACAAGAATATATGAATAATCCATTACGCCAATGACGATGATTATCTTGCACAATATTAATTACCAACAAATATAGAAATGCAATTGCTTGCTCAATTTGCTTATAAAGTTTCTCATCCTACTTTTATCCCTTTCGACAATCTATGCTAGCATACTGAACCCTTTTTGTTATCATTGACGTTAAAATGAGAACTCGAGATTGCACATGTTCTTTTCTTTCGAATAACCCATAAACTTAAGTGACATCAATTTATATATTTTCTAATATTGCATAACCTTAATCAATTCCATATATTCTAATGACAATGATAAGAAGTAACGCGTTAACAGCTTCTAGAATTCTTAAACCCAGACATATTATTATCAGTGTTACAATGAAAGTCATGTGCTGCAACACTAACAATGTAGCATCCACCATAAGAATACTCTATTATGACAATTAATCGTCGTTATGTATTACTATCATAGTGTCGTTAAGAATATGTTGTGCACCTACTTTATTGTTGTTAAAACATTGTCTTTCCACAAAGAATGCACTATTTTTTTAATATTCATCTCGTCATGTCTGCCAGCAGACGATAATAGTTGAAACAATGTGATCAATAACTCGCAATTTTATTATACGTTACACTGTTTGACTCACAAAACGTAGCAAAACGTAGCCGTTCGTTTGGAAGTTTAAACCGGGAAAGGTTTTCTTGCGCACTACTTCATAGCTGGGTTAAAGGCCATGCTTAGTTCACGTTATTTGCGCTTCTTAAAAAATAACTAATGTAACACTCGTCTCTTATCGATACTGAATCACTTGGACTTTAGAATCGTTCTCGCGTACTCCGCCACTGTTACTTTTAAATGTTTTTGTCATCACCAATGGGAGCATTGCTCACGGCTGTATATATACACACCAGATTAAATGCCGTTCTTTGTTCGCAATTGATGAGAATCCGAGAAAATCACTGAAGAAGTTACAAACGGAACTGTAATACATTTGAAAAAGTTCGTAGGAATATTTTGAGGAGATAAGCAGTGTAAATGTTATAGCTTATGCGTCGTGGCATAATTAAAGATACATCATCTTGAAATGTTATAATCAAATTCTTGAAATTAAAAAATATTGTTTTCTTATTTTGGATCACATTTGGAAATTTTTATGACAAAGAATTTTTTGCAGTTATATATTTGGTCAATATTGAACTGTGAGAATATTGTTTATGGATTGTTGCATTTTAGTATTTCATTATATGACGATAATAGTCAGCTGTCAGTGACACATGGTTTGTGTTTAATAATGGTCAGAAGTCAATGAACGGATCTGACGTTGACTAAACAGCCATGTGTGTATGGTATAAGGAATATGCATGTAAACAGATATCTCACAATTTTCATCTGTCCGTTCAAGGTGCTTACTACCGTGGGTCAGCTGTGTCGAATGAACTTATGGATTAACAAAGCATCCATGCAGAACACTCATTAAACTAAATTAACACGTACCAAATTTTTATGGTTCCAAATATAACTTTCACTGCTCATGTGAGGAATAATTTTCAAAATTGTCACATGCTTATCATAAATATAAAATCTATTTGAAAAACACATACATTTGATTGAACGAGGATTTAATTGTACGACAATGGAAAATTTTGCAACAAAGTATATTCAGTGTCAGAATAGTTTATTCATCATCTTGCACAACTGTGGTTTTCTCAGATACATAAAGGCCATCCAAGAACTTTCTGATATCCTTGTTCTTGACAGTCGTGGATTGCTGGATCAACGCAGCTGCAATATACATACACGTAGTTCGATATATTTTCATATTGTTCAGCAGATATGAAGTATATTGTAATATCAATGAAACATTGATGGATAATCAATAAGAGTAATCAAATGTTAAACTCACCGGATCGGGAAACATCTTCCAAAGAATTTCCTTCCAGAATTAGCTCATCCTTTTGTTTAGCTGAATTGCTGACAGTAACACCTGGTGCCATTTTAACACGTCGAATATATTTCTCTCCCAAGAAGTTACGGATTTCAATAACTGTGTTATTTTCAGTGGTAACGCAGTTGATAGGGAAGTGAGCATATACAGCACGCATTTTGTACTGATATCCCTTGGTTACACCCTTCAACATATTTTCTATGTGGGAGCAGACCGTGCGAACAGCTGCAAGTTCTTTCTTAGTACCAAACCATTTTTCAACCTTTAGTACCCTTGGATTCACCATCTAAAACAACAGAAGATAGTAAAAGTAGAATTCATGCAAACCCTACAAAAAATTATAATTATTTTTAACATTTTCAGTACAGGATTTATCATTTATAAGTAAAATGAAGGGGAATCCACAGGTCATCATAAATAAATATAAGAAATAATAGAGAACAGCAAGAGCTAATTTTACAATATAAATAGATAGGATTTCAATACTACTTACACGGATGTCAAGAGCAAGATGTTTGAAAGAGCGTTTCAACACTCCCCTTGGTCCTTTCACAGTTACCAAACGAGACTTGACTGATACAGTCAGTCCATCTGGAATCTTCACTGTTTGGTTGGTTACGATTTGCTTCATCCTGCAGCTAAAAATATAAAAATTTAATGTTTCGTATTCTGTAAAAAGCTTTTGTACTTGGCAATTATGTAGATTAAAGGCATAACTGACATTCTATGAAATATATTTAACTAAACCACCAACAAGTAACAAAAATTCAATTGATTATCACATTTATATTGAAATAAACACTACATCATAACAGTTGCTGCTTTGCTCAATTGAAAAAATCGATTGGCTAATACAAAATAAGTCAATAATAAATGTTTAGCTGATAGAACCAGTCCACTGTTTGATACAGTTAGCACATTTATATATGTTTCTAATTCGTCTAAACCATTGTTTTCCCGGAAATAATTCCAAAAAATTTCCTTAGCTTACGATTAACAATTTTACTAATCTGTTAGTATCCAATTGAAATATTAGAGAAGATACGCAAACAAGTGCAGGTTAAGACGTACTGCAGCAGAAGTACACAATATGAGTGACATTTCACACGTGTAATATTAAAATACAATATTTTGTAAATACATACGACTCTGCTCACTCGGATAAATTTATTGTGGCGATACAAACTTAATGAAATACTTTAGGTTTTGATAATAGTACGTTGTCAACAGGGAAAGCTGCAAATAACAAAGCCAAAGACAGGTTATAAATTTCACACCACGAAAACACCAATTTGACCAAAAATATTATATACACAACGTTGATTATGCGATAATAGAAACATAAAATCTGGGAAAACAATGGTTTTTCTCTTCATAGGTGCCGATTGCAATAAATACGAAATCGCATTACAATCCGTTACCTGACACACGCTACAGTACAACCGGAAAAGGCACAGAAACCGAAAAGTTTTGAGTCTTCGATTATACAGGACGTGCTATGCTCTAGATAGGACAGTAAACATAAAAATAACCGATACCAGGTGGCGCTGCTGCTTTAGACAGCCTCTGGAGATACGTGACACGACGGTTCTCATCCATTACTTCATACATGTATTATAAAATTGACAGAGTAAAAGTTTTTAGAATAACCGTATAAAAAAAAGGAGTAATCACCATAAATAACCGTTTTCTTATACGGTTTATTTATATTTTGATTGCTTAGGAATTGTCTATAAAAAAAGAGTTACAACATAATATAAAATACTTATAAATCACAGTTTAGTCTTTTAAAATGATATACATATATGTTTGGTAACATTACAATTATATACATAAACAAAGTATTCAGGGTTTACTTGTTAAATCTATATTACATATTTTTTATTATTTAACTTAACGCTGCATGGCACGTACTTGTTCTGTAACTTCTTCCAACTTAATAGAACTCCGATCGATAGAGTCTAGCTGATATTCCAGATGAGAAGTAATAAGAGCCAACTTCCTTAAATTTGTTTCTGCATTCTCCAGCCCATGCTCCTGCAGTGAGAAATTTCTAGCTGCATGCATTAAAATCTGCAAATATTAAGAATAAGCTAATTATATAATTATTAGTTAAATATTAATATCTGAAACAACTTCGTAACAGGAGATTTCATGTTAAAAGATACCATATTCTTACTTCACTGCTTTTAGAACCCCGCTGTATTTGTCTTGCTAGTGAAGCAACATTATTAACATTGACTTGTACTCTGTCTGCCAGTCTCATTTTGGAATCAACAAATAGGCTACGGGCACTTGTGCTAGATGCCGAAGCCATATTGCAGGATTTTCCGTTAATTGAGGGATAAATAGTGACTTCTTTATAGTAATAATAGAAGCAAGAAATATACAATAAACGATGAGACAAATCACACAACAATAATTGTTTATAGCATTTTCTGTATAGTGTGATTACAAGAAATGCAAGTATAACTGTAATGTTTTTCTAGAATATATTATGTTATGAATTGTAAACAACAAACAATGTCAATTTGAGATAACCCTTTTTCTTTTCCTTATGGCTTTATTCCAATGGACAATGTCGCAGATCTGAAGAAACCACTGAAATATATGTATACTAGAAGGCGTACCGCCATAAGCAAAAATGACTCTCGATAATAACTTTTGACAGAGACTATAAAAGAGAGAGAGGGACGATCCCCAACGTTCTCTCTCTCTCTCGGCCCGCGTGGTTCGTGTCCCAGTATGTACATATACATACATATAACCCTCCAAAAAACACTTACGTGTAAAAAACTATGCCAAGGTACAGAAATGCTGCGAATTCCTCCAACGAAAAGTATTGAAATCATATTATTAATGACAAATACGTCAATCACTACATATTTGTTTATTATATGATCTAGCACTAGCCCATCACTTTAATAGTGATTTCAAAATTTCCTATAACGTCTTCGGTACTCTTTTATATTACTATTGTTTCTCGTATTTAATTATGATTTAATGGTCCTTTAATAATTAATTAAACTTTAGATGATTCCTTATCGAGTAGTACTTGGTGGGTCCATGCCAGGTATTCCAAAGTATTTACTTTGGACGTACTAATAGTATTCTAAGCTATGATATATATATATATATATATATATATATATATATATATATATTCATAGTCATATATTCTATCATATATTCTATTCTATGTTTATGACGAATTATTACTGATATGCTTTATACAGGGTGAGTCGTTTAACTTGGAAAGGAAGCATTTTACGAAAAAATTGTTCGAACAAATTTCGTTTGGTTTCGAGACGGAAAAAAAATATGCTGTACCGTTATTTCTTAATCGCGGCAGTTCTCAAGGTTTTTCCAAGGTCAACTTTGTTTTTTTAAATGGGAACCTATATTTTTTATTGCAGATTGTTATGCTGTACAAATAACCAATCAACTTTTTTCTGAAACATTTTTTATTAGGACCAGTATTTTCAATGTTATTTCAACATCAAACGTAGACCCCGGGATTATTAATAAGGAAAGCGATTTTGTAGATACGAAAATCGGAAGAGAAAAAAAAGTTAATTAATGTTTTCTCTTGCGTAAATAACGTATTTATTGTTAATATTGCCAAATAATATTATAATAAGTGTTCAAAATGGTGTCCTTCAACATCAATGCATTTTCGAACTCTATTAAGCTAGAAAAGAGCCTTAGTTAATTTTTGTCTTCTCTTGTTGAAAATACAGGTCCTATTAATAAATGTTTCAGAAAAAAAGTTAATTGGTTATTTGTACATCATAACAATCTGCAATAAAAAATATAGGTTCCAATTTAAAAAAGCCAAATAGACCTTCGAAAGACCTTGAAAATCGCCGCGATTAAGAAATAACGGCACAGCACTTTCTTTCCCCCTCGAAACAAAACGAAATTTGTTCGTATATTTTTTTCGTAAAATGCTTTCTTTCCAAGATATTCGTTTGTGCCAAATTAAACGACTTACCCTGTATAGAAAGTTGACGTTGGTTTTGAATTTGAAAATTGGCATAATAATCGCAAATTTATATCAAGTAATGCACGGATCCGCCAAGTAGTACTCAATAAGGAATCACCTAAGTATTTTTTGTAGGGTTTTATTTTAGTTGTGTAGTACTTTCGAGTTTCTGACCATTACGTGATATCACTGGTAGCTATATTAGAGAGAAGATAAAAGTTCATATCATGGTAGTGGCCCGATTGATGAATTATATTAATAAGTGTATATATTTATTAACACTTAGAAAATAGGAAATACGGTGGGTAACAATTAGAAATGCTGCAAATTGTAAAATTTGTCGGAGCCCAGAATTGTTGCGCAGAAGACGTGGAGCGGGAGGGGAGGAACCCTTACGGGAATGCTTAAGCTTACAGTGCTCATTCTTCCACGAGTCGGTCGCCCATACCGGTCTCGGTGACAGTCTCATCTTACCCATTTCTATCCTTGTTTTCTATATTTATTTTTTTCTAAAGTCCTATACTCATAGTTCTTACTTTGCTACTTTCATTTTCTTTTTTTATTTTTTAACTTATTCTTTACTTTCCTTATTTCTTTCTTTGTGCCTTCTTCTTTCTCTTCTGTTCTCGTCCACTTTCCATTGTGTTTGTCTTAATTTTCCTATCTTTTTGGTTGGGCTAAACATTCTTCGAGTAATCATAATAGGGTAGTTTATTCTGTTAAAGAAACACACGTAGATTATGGTGACGGGGGTTGTCCTTCCGCCTCATTTGCTGAGCTTGCTCAGTAGGTCGGGCCCAAGTTGTGGTCGCAATATGGTCCCTTCGGACCTCCCGACGGGGGCCTTGAGCATCTTTAGAGTACGCTACGACCATAGTCTTGCGTGCAGTCAATCTAACTATGTAGGTACCTATCTTTCGCGATTGTGGTTTATTTTTTCGCTTTCCTGAAAACGCTGCAAGAAGTCGCTGACCCTTGAACACTTGTGAGGGTGGGAACGATCGTATTTGTCGGTGAGGAGGTCGGAGGAGAAGTCCGTTGGCTTTGGGCAAAGTCGCTGTCTTTGCTCGTGTTCCTGGGTTAGCTTCACTAGTAGTATCGGTTTTTTAAACACCTTTTTGATTAAAGGTAAGAGAGGATAGTGTGCAGGAAAGTTTACGTACCTCAAGCCGTGCGAACAATAAAGAGGGGGATACTATCGTGTGAGCGAAACGCCAAAGCGTCGCTCGTTGCGTCCTTTTCGCAGAGCATTAGTGCGAACAAATCATATACCAATTTTTCAAGAACCATCAGAATTGCGTATGCTTCTTAAGGTTATCGACGATTTCAAACAAGCTCGTAAAGTAAAATTTGATAAATTGCATGATTGTCTCAATGTAGGACAATAGTTTTGCCAAAGTGATCTTAAATGTTGTCAGTTGTTATATGTATATCTTCAGTCAACGTTATGGATAAATTTGAATACACACATAACTATCAAATATCAAAGTTATAGTTTAATAACTCGTTAGGTTTTATTTGTACAACAGTCGTCCCTCGATACTAAACGATATGACTATTAACCAATAAATATTGTAATAAACTCAAAATAAAAAAAAAAGCTTTAAAACCGTTACAAGTATCGTATTTAAGGTAACATAGATTACTTGCATAAATAAAAAAGAATATATAAACATACTTGTTCACCGAGTCAAAATTAAAAACCGGTAATTCGAAATGAAAGCCGGTATTATTTTTGGTGTTCCCTATTCGGTAACAAAAGAACCCACCGATCATTGGCACAGACTTGTTTCAACCTTCATTTTAAATAATAATTTCTAACTCGATACCTAAATGTCTCCAAATCTCATTACGAGCGATTTACATTAAACACTTTGAACACTGGGTTGAGGATTGTAGAGTGTCGCCAACTGTTTCATTTTGTTGCCGAAACTGCTGACATCTTTTGGAGTCTCGTTGACTCTCTGCACCGCGTTTCTGTTCTGAGCAATGCGTGGAAGAATTCTTTGAATCGGTAGGCTTTCCGATGGTACTTGTACTTCCGGTGACTGAACCATTTCTTCACTCCATTTCCCTAGCCAATCGCTACTCACGGTCTAAATATATACAAATTTTTAAAAAATTAAATCATCCGAATACATTATCTCGATTATAAATTTCTAAATTACCTTCACGTCGCTTTCATTATTTTTCTCGTCCTTCCGGTTGGCCTCTTCGTTACGTAACTTCATCAATTTCTCTCGAAGTCTCAGCATCTCCTCCAGCTCCTTCTGTATTCTACGTTGAGTCTGATATTGCGCAACTGTCTGAGCCCAAGGACCAAGCTCTCCTCTCATCGCGGCATTGAGAGTCGCCTTGTAATATTACACAAGTCAATGCACTTGTTACACAATTTACATAATAAATTAAATATTTTATGATTGTGACCAAGCATCGCTCTATACCTGTCTTCTCTTCTTAGCATCTACATTCCCAATGGGATCGGTTTCGGTTTGTGGACCCAGCTCGACCAGTACTTGAAAGTCGGCATGTTCACCAAGTCGAAATCCAACGCCGAGTCTCGAATCGGTTCCTGGTTATGGTACATTTAAGTGTGGAATGAATTACAGGATACAATATAAAAATTACATGACATAACGCGTGCGGTTAAATATTGTCTGGATGCATAAGGTGAAAGTTGTTTAACATATTTTTGAAATTACAGTATCTATTACGATTCCTTCAGTCACTTAAAAAATAAAAAGTTCCATGCATGCAATGATATATGTAATTTTCATAGAAGGTGGTACTTTGCTTGTTATTACCTTTCTTGATCGGTGGTATATTTGAATATATTACTGATAACACAGTAGGCACTTCTTCTGGTACGATAAAACCAGCTGCACCTGTAACGGACGTTATTTTTTTTAAACATTAAATACTGCATAATGCTTTTACATAGATAGAATCTTATATATTAGAACGTATATGTATTTTATTGAGCTTCGACGCCTATTGAAAATCGCCGATGATGTCAAATGGAAAGTCGAACTTTTCGATCAATTTGGCACGCGATGCCGGAACACGTTCTCTCGCGATAATAAACGCAACTTTTGGAACGTTCCTTTTTTTTATATGGGATCATGGTTTTTTAATCAGATGGTGGAATATTATTTTCAAAGACGATGGAAATCATTGATTAATATTCACTTACGGGTATAGAGAGACAGCAATACAACCAGTCGTATTACGGTAACCTTCACGCTTGTAGACATCGTGTAAAGAAACTGGAGTATAGAATATTTTTCCTTATGTTTCCCAGTAAGGCATCATTTCGAGCTTATGAAGCACCTCGTAGCGACCGGGATTATCTAGAATATCAGTTCTTTTACGAATAGAATAAAAAAGTAATTTCTGTAAACTCAAAGTGAACTTTACGAACGTTGCCGTTGAATGTGTTTATCGTAATCACAAATCTAGTTTACGACTGGAGTACCGTAGCGTCCAAAAACATAATTTAACAAAATATCCTCGTAATACACATTTACTCTGCCAGACACTCTGGCATAAATATTATCGAAGCAAAATACAAGTCAAAATTGTAACACTGAACAACGAAAATGCTTACCTACGATTACAGGGAGTACCAACGATAATAAATCTCTCGTATGACTAGTAGACGCATCAGTTACATTTAGTCCTTTTCACTATCACTTCTGCTGTCAAAGCAGCACTAGAAATTTGAAAAACTCAAACTTAAATATCCCCTTGGATATTTCTCTTAATAAATTCAGATAACTGTAAACATACTGAGGACGTTCTCTTTGGCAGTGACAGCGTACCGGTGGCCGATAGTCTATTGACTGAGCCGTATGCAAGTGTCGTGGCTGCTCGTGCAGAAAGAAGTCTGGCCGAAGTTCGTAAAGTGAAAGGAGGCGCGTCTATCGGGGATCGAGGATCGAGGTCAACACATCAAGACCTAGTGACTCTCTCCACTAGTTCCATCCCACCTTATACATAATAAAGAACACATCCTCTTTAAAAAAATGCAATTATCAAGCAGACGATCGTTCCAACGAAAATAAGAGTGGTGGAGTCTGGTTATATTGACTGGATGACCTTGTGCATTTAATAGTCCGTCTTTGATGTGCTGTTCAAATAAATATTCCCGCATTGAAATTTCGTAAAATACGTAAGTAAATGTAAAGTAATATATATTGGAATTTATAACTACGAAAGTTGACTCAATTTTTCTTATAGTTTTCACAATCAATCAATGTCCTTTGGACCTTATACCATTGCCATAACCTAATCAGGTAATGAGTTTAAAAAAAAATAATTTCATTTGCCATATTTTGTAATAAGTGTCTGTATAAGTGATATGTGAATTCATCATGGCGGCTCTTGGTCCGGATGTTTGAACGAGAGAAATCCAATGCTACTAAAAATTTCTGTTTTCAAGGCTTATCGATACGCAATCATCGTTACCGAATCCATCGGTACCATCTGTATAAATTTTTTATACCGTTCACTGGTAGAAACTGATATTCCCGTAGGATTATTGCGTGCTCGTAAAGATTTTTAAGAAATTACATTGACGTGCTTCCTTTGGTTTTGTCCTGAACTTCTAAGCGGTTTTGTTGCTACCACAATGATTTTATATAATCAACAGAAAGGATACGAAAATCAACCAACGAGATAATGAGAGGACGAATGTATCATAGTTTATAGATAGATATAGTATACATATACCATATACTGTCCAACATAACGTTAAATTATAGCAATCATTTATTCACTTCCGTGGATCCATAATGTCATGTTAAGTGAAATAGACTCTCTCCGTTTATTCTGTAAAATTATTATATTATATACCAGGTCGATATGTTTTCAAAGGAGACATGTGAAAATATTTCCGGATACTTTTCAGCGTTTTTATGAACCCCCTTACAACCTCACGAGTAATAATGTACAAATTTATATCAGAGACTGTGCACTCGACAAAAGAGAAACACAGTAGCTGAAAAGTAAAGAAATTTTAACGTCGCCGTTAAACCGATTCAGCTATAAGGTTATAAATGAGAAACAATTAGTGTTGATTCCAAGTACTTAATTAATAAATATATTTACTTCATGGACATTGTAATTAAAAGATTATAAAAAAAAGACCTAACCTAACCTAACCTTACAACTGTCCTGTTTTCTCAATACGGTTGACACACTATCGTTGTGATTTCGCAAGGACCCGGTCAAGGTAATAACGATTACTCTGACCATTCTTTCCTTATAATTCTATGCAGCGCTTAGACACTGGAGCGAAAGTGCACGGTATAAATCCTTTTACTAATTAGACTATAGTAAAACGTAAATAAAAAGCTTGAAGAAAAGATTCAAGAAAAAATTTTAGTCAACAGAGTCAACTCTCCTGAAAGTCCATTGGCTTTTCCTACTACAAATGATATTCCTGTATGTATATACATACTGATAAACACTGTTCTAGAAACTTCATATGATTTTCCTGAAAGTACATTAGGTCCCACAAAGACGTTCCATATGGGAACGAAGCGTATGTCACACAATGGACTTTTACTCAAGACCCGTTCTGTTGCAGTGTTAACAAAAATTGAAATAAAAAATTTTAATAAAGTCTTTTTTGGTTTCTTCGTGTACCATACTACCTACCGTTTTGCGGACAATGAGGTGACTCAAAAAATTAAATACAAATAGCATTGTTAGATATGAATAGATATACATATATAGAGTGGACTGATGCCTCTGCGTAGAAGGAGTCATAAGCGCATTGTTTTAGACACTTATGAAGATATAACGATGTGTGCGCATTATCAGCGATGACACGTGGTTTCCTCTAGCACGTGTTGATATAGCCGCCCGCATGTGTGTACTGTTTTTTATTCTCTTACGTATACCCAGCGAATGTAGATAGTTGCTGCTGGTTCGCATACGTTTCCGAACGAGCTGCTCAGTCAGAACGTCGCAAGACGACTTTTGTGGCGTCGTGTTCAGTAGAAACCCTTCTGGAATTGTTTTTTTTTTTTATTTGGACTTGAGTGAATTTTTCATGTTCGCATGTTCGACCTTAATACCGATACCCTTGGTTCTCCTGACACACGAGATATCTTCTAAGTCCAGTAAGTATACACATATATATGTCTTAATCTTTTTTATGAATGTCTGAAGTTATTTAAAAATCCGAATTTATTATTGGTTATCCTGAGAACCGGCACGCGGGGTGTTTGAGACATCCCAACTCAATGCTTTTCAAATGGAGAAAAAAATCGCGCGACTATTTCCGGTTTAAATTATTAAACCGTTTCCAAGATTTTATTTCTTAGTAAAATAATTTAATACAGTTCCTGCTCGATGCACTTCACTTCTTCTTGTGATTAAACTTAGTTTAAGGAAGTGACCGTATTTCCTGTCTAGTCATCGATCAGGACTTCCTGTCTTTTTTAGAAATTCCGGATATCGTCACTCGCCTGCATACGCAGATTTATTTTCATTCTTGACTTAGTTTACTCCGGCGTCAGAATTATCACTGTAAAATTTATGTATTATGATTTGACTTGCTTGGAAGCTGCTTCGTGTATATTGTGTCCTTTTAATCCTATTGCGATACAGGTACTAAACAGTCAATTTCTCTTTCTCGAACGGTAGTGAACGAGTGTCAAGGAGCCGTCCGGATCGAGTGATTTTGTCGTTGGCTAAAAGAGAAAAGCGGCTCTTATAGCTGAACGTAAAGGCGATCGTTTACAACCAGCTAATATTTCGCGGTTCGATCGGCTGTTTGTTCGAGCAATACAGAACCAACGTAGCACTGGCGGTTCAGGTGACACAAGTGTTCCGTGCAGGCTGGACTACAGTTTATCTTGTGCCGCCCGCATAAGCGCGCCGTGAATATGTGGCAGATATTTTGCGTACTAGGTGGAAAGCATCTGAAGTATCGTGATCGTAATAATTACGTTGGATTTTTGAGTCGTAAGTGAAAGTAATAAAAAAATTTACGGAGATTAAAAAAAATCACTTGGTCCAATTACAAGACAGACTTCAGATTTTTTTTATAAGATATACAAAGTTGTGTGAATTAAAAAAAATTGCATTATACTAAACACGAAATTTCAACTTGGACTGTACTACTTGTGAGTGGCTGAGGTGCTGATAAGATTTTTCAAAATTTTTAGTGAATGGTGTACGACAATCTTTTTGGTCCATGGGGCCAGATTATATTCGTTGCATTTGGCGCCTGTGTTATCCTCATCGCCATTCTCCTGGTCGCCTGTTTTCTCACACCTGGATGCCTCGGATACGAGTGCATTCGTAGACGCAGTAAGATATTTTTATATTATATTATGTAGTTTATTGATACAATAGTTGCATAGTCGTATACAATCGTTGGATGCGATAAAATTTTCGTATCACGTTCGTGCTTCGCTGCATCATCTGTATCCGCTCACGTCTGGAAACTTTGAAATGCACCAGAAACATTGTAACTTAATACATGGGTAGACATATGGATAATTTCATACGAACTACCATGATAAGCATGCGAATCGAATTATCCATTCGCCGGGATAAAGGTTACCGTGATAAAAAGACCATTTCGCGTGGATTTATACCCACTTGATATTTCATAAGTAACTCCTGGCTATTGCACAGGTACGAGAATCATTACGCGTATCCAACTTGGTCTTATTACGTCATTATTCGCACGCTATACATGACATTTTTCTTCATTTCCTTCACCGATGCTTATGCAATCGTCTCTGCTGACCAGAGTGTGCATCGCACCGCAGATACTCGTATTACGTACGGTATATGTATATATACATATAATAATAACAAAAACTGACGTACTAGACACGTGGTCTGTTACAAAATAAAAAAAGGAGTAACAATATATTTGATTATTCAGCCCAAACGTATCACCTGAATATGGCATTACCATAAGAATCAAATGGTGAGGCTAACTTCAGGCGGTACGTTTGGAACCTGGTATACTCAGTACACGGCATAATTAGTAGGTATAACTATTCTTCGATGACTCTGAATGGTCAATGACCACGAAAGTTATAATAAGACCAAAACAAACTACTCATAAATATTGAACAATTCCGAAACTAGCCGGCTTGTAGTCTACGTAAGAGACGCAATTTATCATTAGGCCAAGGTTACGAACGTCGCTAAAAAAAATGACACGAAGAACTTTATAATAAATATTCAAATTTGCCAAATTATGCAACTGACTTTTAATTCAGGGGCGCCGGGAGTCCTTGCGGCTCGTTCTGTTACGTAGTTCAATGAATATCTAAGGAAGGTGAACCTTGATTAAAATCAGTTTTCGGAAATTCCATCAGATGTATATGGGTTTTGACTTTGTATGGGTATACATAAATAAATATATGTATACATAGTATATATATATATGCATGTGATCGCATGGTGGATACTGTAAATATTTTCTGTTAACATTGAACAGGAAAGGAAGACAAGAGCGTTCCTTTACGATATAAAGGACGGCCTAACGAGAACGTCAAGTTAAATGATGTCAGCTATAGATCATGGAGACTGGGTAGCCTCTACGAAAACGGCGCGTCTGGTATAAAAGTTCAAGTTCACGAAGTTATATATTTCCAATTTGAAATGTTTGTATACGCTATAAGATTAATTTTCTGTGTTAATTGAACAGATTGCATTTCGGAAAATCCGGGATCCCAACGGCAATCTGTCAATTCCAACAATGTGCCGTTCGAGCCCATCGACACCTCGTCGACTGTGGTAAGGATTAAAAAATTAAAATAAAACAAATATAGGGAAAATTTAAAAAATATATTATATTTGGACTATATCAATCTTTCAGAATCTCATTAGTTCGGATAAACCAAAGAAGGACAACAAAGGAAAGGAATTTCCTACGGAATTAACTATGAGTCTTCAGTACTTGCCTCCTAGTGATGGGAATATTATTGGAAAGCTCGTCATTGGCATCGAGGTATATATATATATATATGTATATGTATATATATATATATTATTCTGACTTATTTTCTATGGTCTCCAATCTCAGAAGGAGAATTCATGCCGAGACGGAATTCATTCCTCGTTTTCATACAGATGAATAGAACAAAGGTGTCACCGGAAATAATACTAAGAAAATAATATCTTTCTTATAGGCATTGTCCGGCCTTCCTCCAAAGCAATACAGCTCCGTTCTCGAGCCTTACGTGGCTTTGAATATAGTCAAATTATCCTGGACTAACAGGAAGAAGGAAAAATTACATAGTTTTCGTACGAGAGGCGTTCGGCATACGGCTAGTCCTATATATAGAGAAACATTCGTAGTGGCCGATGTGAAGCCACACGAAGTCAAGGTAAATCATGCCGTTGTAAATTGCAATATGATAGGAATATAATTTATAAATGAACCTTGTCAGCATGTCTGGATGGCTGTAAAGTCACGATTTTCTTATGATGTCAAGCTTTGTATACTTCCCGCTAAGCTGGCGTGTCAAGCGGGTTGCATCATGCAGGCGCCAAACCTTACTGGGGCTTAATAGGACAATTGCTTTGAATGGAAAGAAGTATACAATTTATTATTTTACAGGAATGGACACTGGAAATAATTGCGTATGATCATGATAGATATGCCAATCATACAGAATTGTGTGCATTACGAGTTCCTTTAAAGGAAGTAAAAAAATTGTTTCAGAGTCCTGAGATACATTTGCTTAATTATCAAATGAAGCAGTCTTATCAGGTGTTGTATTTGATATTTTATTTAATGGGTCAATGAGGAGGTGTTATTAATTTGTTTCTTTTTAGGAATTCGGAAATATTTTATTAGGAATTAGTTATTTACCTACAGCTGAAAGACTGACAATTAATATTATGAGACTATGCAATTTGAAATTTCAACCTGCTGTGGCAAATTTATCTAAATTCAGTATGTGTACCGTTAATAATTTTTATATTTTTGTTAACAATTTTATATGAGACATTACTTTGATTTTTTGTTTTACATTTAATAGATCCGTATGTAAGAGTCTTAATGCTCAATGGAAAAACTGGAAGAAAAATGAAAAAGAAGAAAACGAAATTTCTAAAAGCTACAGCTCAGCCTGAATATAACGAAGTTTTGACATTTGACTTAACACATAATCAACTTGACCACGTGCAATTCCTTGTTATACTGTGCAGCAAAGTACGTACTTCAAAATCGCACTGTATCGTTATTACAATATAATAACGTTTATAAATAACATTAACGACTATAAATAACACAGGTTATATTAGACGAGTCACCAAATTGCGATCATCCCAGTGACAGCGAGGAGTCAGTAAATTCATATAAAAAATCACAGGATATTTTCATTGGGAAAGTAGCCCTTGGAAAAGGCGTACGGGGACCAACAGAAAGGATGCACTGGTTTTCAGTTTTACAAAATCCACGAAAGATTGTGAGCTCGTGGCATACGTTAAAATAAAACAAACAAGAATAAAAAGTAATAATAAAAAATCTTTCAAAATAGAAATAAAGTTTAATCGCTGTAGTATTTATATTAACTTATTACATAACTGATGAAAAGAAAATTAAAGGAAATCTACATATTATAGTTATTGTTAGTTAATCTACATATTATAGTTATTGTTTCGAATTTTTATTATATCCCATATTCAATATTTCATAGGCGCCTCGAGTCATGTATCCAAGATACCTACAATCTCTGTAGCAGGACATAATGTTCGAAGCGTCCGCAGCGATCGCAGTAGTGAAACATTAGTTCAGCTTTACGCCAACAGAGGGCACGCACTGCACGGTTACCGTTTTTTTTCTGCCAACACCGTCAGAGAGACACTCAGTCAGTCTGTTTGTGACTTGTGAGTGCATCGTGTCGGAGCGTTTTGGTTTAGTGTGTTTTTTTTTAACCGTCCGCGAGTTCTTCCGTATTTTTGGTGTGATTTGTTTATATTGTGTTCAGTGTAAGGCGTGGACTGGCTTATCGAAATGTGAGTAGACCAAGCCAGTATAATATATTTTATCTGTGTTTCATGCTGCTGTGTCAGAAACGTAACCTGCAATGTATACTTACACGTTCCACGTAGAATGGCCTTTCGCGTTTATCTCAGATTTCATTGTTTAAACGTTTTGCCTCCAAGTTATTCTCACGGATCTTTTCGTGCAGTGGAATCATATTGTTTCCGTGTTATTTTTTCCCCTCTCTTTTACTTCTCTACTAGACACGTTCGGAGCGGCTCGTATTCTGTATACCTGTAAAATCCTGCTCATTTTTTCAAGTACCTATTTCTGCTAATCTTTACACTGACATATGATACATCGATGACTCTTATTCGAGGAAATCCAATTGTCTCGTATTATGTTCTGACTCTTTTTCGACTCGTCTTATTCGTGAAAGTGCCACTCTTCCTTGTCTGCATTTTCCCTCTTACAATTAGTCCCTTTAGAATGCTACCCGTAGATGTCTGATGGAATAATGAAAAAAAATGTCGACTACCTACCTGCTTCTAGCCGGTTTTTGGGCCCTGGCGTTATCCACGCTACCCTTCGTATTACCATTAAAGTTATTTTACCGGGCGAGGCAAGATTCATATCCCATAGCCAATTCCACATATATTGCATTTAAGAAATATAAACGTTCCTTTACAATATTTTTCGTACATAAACGAATCTTTCCATATTTGGTATAAAAATGAAAGATATTATCACCCGCATAGTCGGAATCTTTGACCTTCAAATAATATTTCGTTAACGATAAACAGTCAATTAGTATTGTATATTTTTATATTCAACTCATATTTTCATTAATATTGATTTCTTAATTTGTCCTTCCGATTATCTCTTTAAAACCTAACAAAATCTTTTAATGCGATAACAAACATTTCATAATCCCATCTGGTTTATTACTCCCTATATTTATTACTCCTATTGTTTCCCTGGAAACTGTTTTATCGAATCCACCTCGATACATAACTGGGATGAGGGTGAACTGTACTGCACGCTCATGATGCAACTGTGTCCCACACTGACACACATGCTGCTATATATGCATCTAATTTTATTACGTGCTAAGCATCATATCACAGTACTGTCATAATCGTAAGAGATAACAAATAACCATTCGTTGTGATATTTTTAAAAGCAAAAATAAAATCAATGTTACTATCTAGTACGTGAGGTCCTCGGCTTGCTATATGATATTTACTGCTTAATCGATCCGGTATCTCACCATCATCGAGTGCAATTAATTTTAACTCGTGAAACGTGCCATACTTAGTAACTAAGAACTAGCCGATTGCATCGTCTGTAGTGTCGGTAATGACGGTAGTCCCTTGGGTCTGGTTTACCCGAATAAATAAATTATTTTTGATAGCACGCTCCACGTGAAATCTTAACAGGTTTTTAATTATCTATAATTCGATAATAATTTCTGCTTAGCCTAACGTACAGAATGTTTTTCTATTACCCCGTTCAACCCTCGTTCATTCTTTGTGCATTTGTCTGTTTATTGCCACGTTTAACTTAGCATGGGAATTTATGGTATTAAATTCTGGAATGCAAGGAACATTGTGTTTGGCACGTTTGATGGCTCCACGTGGTCTCAACACGAGGCCATGCTACACCGATGGTAAATATTCCATTATACGTTGTGGCTCGTAAGTTGGACCGGAGGCCTAAACATAAAGCTGGTAAACGTGCACAGAGTGAAGTGGAAGCTTCGTGAAGTGGAATCCTAGCATCTACCGTAACCAATGGGCTACCTGAGTGGTAGTGGACAGTTAGGTAGAGGCTGATCTATGGTGTGCACGTGCATGGGAAAATTCCCTGGTCGTCTAGACGTCCTAAAAACATGTTCATCACAATCCTTAATTTCCTATGTAATTAATCGATGTCTGGATTAGTTTCTTCGATTTTCTAACTAGTCATTGTATTAGGTCTTTGAGCGATTTTAGCGACGGTAAAACGACACCTTTCGTTGCTCTAATTATTTCCAAACGCATTTAAAATGCATGCCAGATGCATTTGCTCGGTATTAATGTATATCCAAACGTTGACCCCGATGCAACTTGAAATTATCATAATAATTCACAGCAAATGCCTGCCATGAAATTCAGCGGTTTATCATCTTCCAACGACAGCCTACTATTTCAAAACGACGTTGCGGTTCAACGTTTCTAACAAATCTGTATCCTTGTTCCGCCAGTGCATTGGTCACAGTATAACGGTTATATATATTTTTTCTTTTTCGATTGATCAATTTTCAAGAAACAAAAAATAAAAAATAAAATAGCACTATCCCATACATTACAACACTCACTTAACTTTACCAATCGTGACACTTGTCTAATGAGTCGCTACGACCAAAAAGGTTTTCGAAATAGCTCGGCCGAACGTTTAAACGAAAATATCTCATCTGAAAATAGAAATAACTCGCCAAGATACCATCGGGCTATGATTGGCACGCGTGACACGTGTGTCACGTGGATGCCATTGTTTATCCTATCCAAGACGCATAGAACGGCCTGTCAATTTTCTGTCGACTCGCGAAAAAAAAAGTTCACTCCACGCCAAATGCAACGCGACTGCAATTATATTCGGCGCTAGTGGTTCCGCGTTAAATCATACCAGTTTCAATCGAATCGAACGAAACCTTACGTATCGGTGCTGATAGCGATCCCTTTGCCAGCCGCCGAAACTTAAGTGGCCAATCTTGTCGTGGTGTCTGTAACGATATTACTACAGCACGATGTCAGTACTCGAACGATCATATCTCCAGGGATCACTCTTTTTCACCACTCACGAAATCATTCCCGTCTGGCTTAACGACGGCGACCTACCTCAATCAGATACAAAAATTACATTTCGTCCTCCAATGAATTTAACGTAAAAGCTTTCGTCGATTCATGCAAATGATTTCATTTAATTGACATTCTTATCTCATCATTGGATTTGCATCATAATATTTTTGTACGCACTAAATTCGTCTCCTTTGAAAACTTTACTCGAGTCCTACCAACCCAAGCGGATTCACTGGCTCGACTCTCGGTACGTGCATATATTCAGCTCGTTGCGAGACTCTAGGTACGAACGTCAGAGGATTCAATTACGAATAGAATAGTTACGGCTATGGTTACGCTCACGTCGACATACAACTCTTAGCCAATACGCGCACTCGAGGACTATTTACTGTTTTCATAGGAGGAATCAGATTCTTGTTTGATACCTTCCCAAGCTCTCGTTCCATCGGCAAAGTTCAGCTGGCGCTCAATATTCAGGTGAAAGATTGTACGACTTTACGTAATTCGAATTACGCTCGTACAGTGATTCTTATTAACAGTCTACGCAATTGCCATTGGTTCGGGCTGGTCAGTGACACTCGCAATTGCTACGGTATACGTCGTGTTATTTATAATCGTTTACACTATTCTGACGTATAACAGGTTTGTTTTTACAGGGCGCCTCGGCAGCCCGTCCCGCAGATGCACGAGTGCAAGCGAACGATAAACTTGCCTACCTTCTGGCAGCACAGTTGAAAAGTCTCTCTCCCGGTGCCGCTCAAATAAGCCGTAAATAAAGTACAGCGCTTACAGAACTTCGAGCCGGAGTGGCGAGCCGCGTCTGCATTTAATCTCCGTCTCGGTCAGGTGCCGCGAGACTACGGTGCGCCGTTACGTATTTGACAGATGCACTTTCCTGCGCGTTATCGGTTAAGCAAACGATCGTTAAAGACCGAGTATTGACGTCGGCCTAACTTTATCTAGTCGGGTTATAAAAATCATTTCATCAACATTCGCCCCAGCTGGCTTCTACCATCAGCGTCATCGTGCACCTAGTATCGGATCGTCTCTCACCGATTGGCTGCAATATAAATCATTGGGGTCAAAGGTCGTGTAGGACGATATATGCTGAAGTCGTGTCTTTTCCGGGAGTCCAAGTTTCGAAGTGACTGTCATAAAAGATTTTTCTACTCAAAGTCATCATTTCGTTGAATGACTTTTGCGCTTGCACCTTCACGCGGGATCTTTTCAACATCATTTGTACCATTAGGTATTTATACTGGGTGGCCATATACCGAAATGTGCCGAGTGCAATTTTACTGCAATGGCGCAGCCATAACGCACGAGTCACGAGAAACGCAATCGAGAACAATCATGCGTCCTAAGTGCCTCGCCTTTACCAAATAGGCAGAACGACGTTCTGTTTCGCATTCCTGTAACTCCACACACCTTGTACGTAAATTCTCTAGATCTTTCGTTTCAGGCTAGCTTTTATGTTGTATTACTTGTTTTTTCCCCCTGTTCTGACTGCAGAGCAAGCAGAGCTATCTGTACGTATGGTAGTATATAGAAATTACGTGTGCAGTCTAGGGGACTTCTTTGCTCTGAAAGTCATGCCAAGATGGCCTCTTCGATATACTCTTTACTGCATTCTATTACGCTGGATGGAAAATTCAATTTCAAAGTTTAAACGGTCCGACCCGCCCGACGATCGACGTACACACGAATGCTGTATGCCGTCTGATTTTGAATCGGCCTCATTGATACACTTGCGCGAGATCACGATTAGTTTTGCGATAACGATCTTGGGACAGATTGGGATATCGTTTATTGTATGGGAGGTATGAAAATTGATGTGGTATTTACGTGTCTTTTGTCGCAATTATTTTTCGGGGTACAGTCAACTTCATAATCGCAAGGGAACAAAGTACCATTGCATTCAGAGCATACCGAATCTTCGGGGCGAATTCTATTCCGAGATTTTTCAAGACGCAACGGTGCATCGATGCGTCAAGTAGCATGCAAATACGTAGTCCTCATCTTCCGTCGTTTCTGCATGTTCAGGACGTTCCTTTGGTACGACCATAAGTGGACTGTGAACGAGCGCAAACGCAGGGAAAAGTCCCTCGATGAGAAAGGCCTCCCTGATCGATCAGATCTATTCGTCCTAATTGCTGTACGGTATAAATCTTTGTCGGAAGATCTATGGAATT